GCTGCTGCCATTGCAAAGCGCCGCCGCGGCTCTTCCTTTTTGCAAAAGTGGAAGGCGTGCGGAAGAGGGGGCGAGTATATAACAAACTATATTTTGAGTGGAAATGTTGGGGGGTCATCTTATACGCTGGGTCGTCTTATACGCCGGCATATACGGTATATTATTTAGTGGGGGGGGGGAGAGAAAAGGAGATTTTTTTTACTGGTTGAGATTTTGTCATAATAAATTATACTGTATCTAAATAATATACTTCTTAATTACTTTGTCCTCAATTATTTGATGTAATATATGCAGGATAGAGAGTCAGTTTGGTCTAGTGGTTAAGGTGCTTGCCTAGAAACCAGGATGCTGGAATTCTAGTCCCACCTTGGCCATGAAAGCTGGCTGGGTGATTGTGGGCTAGTCACTCTCTCAGCCCAACTCAAGTTATCTCATCATATTGTAAAAAGTCTTGAGAAAAGCACAAGAGAGCTCCAAAGTCTTGAATACTTTGCCATTTATCCATTTTTCCACAACCCGTTAATTAAAATGAATTTCTTTCTGACTTGCCATCAAATATAACAGGGCAAATATAGTCATGTTCACATAGACACTTCAATAACTGTCATTATAACAAGAAAAATGTTGATAAGGGTCATTTTCACGTACTAAATACATACTTTTCAAGTAGTTCTTACCTTTCTCAGCAATTTCATGTTGTCTAGCCATGCAGATTTTAGTCTCGGAACAAAAGAATAGTGGGATTCCTTAAAGTATCTGTTCAGTAAATCTGGGCATACTTTGAAAATGTGCACCATAAGATTAGCAACCATCTCATCTTCTACAGCAGTCTTTAGACTCAGAAGAAAGCGCAGCAGAACCAAATTACCTCCTCTAACAAAATAATAGTTTGAAAAAAGCATTACTTTGACAGAATATAGTAATACATAATTGACAATCAGTGATCAGAATCTATGCTGCAGATGCTGTCAGTGGGCAGGAGTTATGGTAAGTTAGCTTTTCTCATCTATTTCGGAGGATGGCAGGGTGGAGAACATTATAAAACAGAGTTCTCCAAACTTTCCAGCTTGGGGGACTGGCGAGGTGGGGGCAGAGAGCGGGTGGTTCTGCGCGAGTGACTGGCACACACACACACTTGGCCACTGCTCATGCAAATTGGGGATGCATGTGCTCTCGCATGCCAGATCCACGGTCCAGTTCCGAATAGCTCATGGCCCAGGGGTTGGGGACCCCTGTTATAAAACATACAGGTGAGGGGAGGGGGCTGAACTTATTCAATGAAATATTTTATTTTTGTTTCCTTTTGAAGTCAGATTCACCCATTTCATGTACAGTGCTGCTTTTCAATTTTTTTGCCTAACAAGAAATAAAAAAATTAACCTGCAGTGTATAAAAATGACTGTAACTTTACTGTATTTCAGCATGTTAGCTACATAAAATAGCAGATGATCAATCATGCCAAACCAGTAGGAACCTTAAGTGACTAAAACTATGTTGTCAAATGCTATGTTGTCAAAGGCATTCAACAAACCTCTACACACTCACAAAACATTATGAACTGGAATGAAAAAAGAATATATTTACAACATAATTTTGTACGCCTGAGATTTACCCGTTCTAAAATCGCTTACTAGTACAGCATAAAACCTTCAGTTATTTATGCTAATGGTAAAAGTAAAGGTTCCCCTCGCACATACGTGCTAGCATTGGCTCTAGGGGGCGATGCTCATCTCTGTTACAAAGCCAAAGAGCCAGCACTGTTCGAAGACATCTCCCTGATCATGTGGCCAGCATGACTAAACACTGAAGGCACACGGAATGCTGCTACCATCCCATCAAAGTGGTCCCTATTTTTCTACTTGCATTTTTATGTACTTTTGAACTGCTAGGCTGGCAGAAGCTGGGACAAGTAACAGGAACTCACTCGGTTACGCGGTACTAGGGATTCGAACCACTGAACTGCCGACCTTTCTGACTGACAAGCTCAGCGTCTTAGCATGCAGATTAATTAACTAACAGGAATTTAACAGATTTTTATGCTTAAAAGATGCAAATTGCTGAAGACTACATGACCAAAACCAGTAGAGTTTTCTGTTCCCTCCTTGCTCTGTGAAATTATCATAAGATAGAATAACCAACACTCTACCATTCACAAAAGATAAGGCAACGCTGAAGAAAATACTTCAAACAATTTAGCTCTAACCTAAATAAAACTGCAAAATGTAACTGGACTGAACAACTGAATGCTTTACCTGCCAGATGTGCCAAGACTTGGATCATAAAAGTTAATGCCATGCTTCAGAGAACAACAAAGGTTCATTAAAAATTTATGAACCAGTTCTCTCACTAAAAGCTTTCCTGGTTCTTCACACTCTTGGGAAGCCTGCATAAAGATAATAAATTGAAGAAAAACAGTCAGCTTACCACTTTTGCTTATTCAGTATTTTCAGAGCACAAAATAAATGTTTATTGTGCTTCTCCAATCTGGCTGGGCAATTTTGGGTGGTGGGTAATTTCAACATACCTGAAGACAGGCATACTGTGTCAGTCTGGTACAGATTGTGCCTGGTTGTATAAAGCTAACTGCTCATATTGAAGCATTGAAACTAGATACATTTCCTCAAAAATAGCCCAGATTACTATTCCTAATGGCAAACTATTTTCACCTTACTAGGCAAACTATGGGCTTGGTTATGGCCTTTCATTTTTCGCCTTGAGCGGTAGCCCGTAACAACATGTTTCTCTTAAAACAGTATTTAGATGTAAGAAAAAGATGGAGAGAAGATTATTATACCTTGACATCCACTGTGCTGACATCAGTAATTCCATTCCAGCGATAGAGTGAAGCAATGTGGTTCAGTATTTCTGAGGTAAAAAAGTGTACCTTCTGGGTCTTACTAATATCTTTATTGAGAACCACCTACAAATAACACAACATATCAACACAATAGTTCAAAATTCTTAAGTCAGGTCATAAGTATGCTATTACATCTATAGGAACTGTCAGAAGTATCATAAACAATTTTAATGTCACTGTTGCATTCATTTGCAACTTTAATTTTTGGTTTACTTAGAAACGTAAGTTATTTAAAAGCATAAGTAGATTAAGCAAAAAGCTCTACAACTGAAATGCTGATAAGTTCTTAAGTACAGCAAAATAGAATGGTAATCAGAGATTGTCTGAAAAACCACAAGGAAGATATTTCAACAGTCAAAGAACATATAAAGAACAAAACTATTTG